TTACATTCAGGCTACAGTTAATTCAGAGTCCTCAGACAACATGGCATCATGCTCAAAAGAACACTCTATGGATGTCATGCTTCTGACATAGTTCTCACCTCTTCTCAGCATGGGCTACACTGTCCAACCCTAAGCCTCTTAGGAACTACCTTTCAGTCTTCCTGTAGTTGAACTGGGACATCACCTCAGAAAAATAAAATAAAAATTCATTAAGGAACCAGACCTGTTGCTCTTAAACTATTTGAAAAAACAAAAAGATCCTTCTACCTACTTTGACCTTCAGCCACAACTACTGATTTCTGATTAGCATAACTTGATCCTATAAACAAATGCAACCTTTAGAAATCAATGCATTTTACTGTTTTTACAAACGTTGATGAATTTGACTTCCAGCTATGAGAGTTGCAGTTACTGATTCCATTTCCATTTGGTTTGATCACGCATCCCTGCCTATTTTTTGGGTCCTGAAGAAGCAAAAGAATAAAACCACTATGCTTGCAGACAAATTTAATCAGCCACTGCTGTTAAACTAGGGATAGCTTTTAGTTACCCATAAAACAGTTCAGCTGTACACTGCTTTAACACTTGTACACAAAATGCAAGACGAGTTCTCTAAAAAGAAGCAAAGCTTTCATTATTCTATATCTCAGCATTATTTAAAAGCTATTTTCTGAAAAGGCTAATGAAAAAGTTTATTATATAATTTGATCATAGAAAAGATTGAGAGGAAGAATTTTTGCTTTTCCTGTCATTTTTATTTTTTCCCACCATCCTTTGAGACTCAGGATCTTCAGCATCACTTCTTAAAAAGGTGCACTATGCTACTCGAGTTACTTAAGGACACAGAACCACATCTGTGCTATTCAACCCCCTGATGGTGGTTGGTGAGGCTTTTAAGGGTGGATGAATCAGAACACTATCTGTATTCAGTACAGAAAGTTGAAAAAAATCAATCTATTTAGGGAAAGAAGTTAGAAATAACAGAAGAAAAGGGTCCGCCTTTGGAATTTCCTACTTTACAGCAGGATTAGCTATGACGTATCACTCTTATGGAACAATACATCTGAACAGAAAAATACATTTCACGCTTTAAAAACACTGAAAGTAGGAGTAGATCTAAAAGTTGGCCATCCAGCATGCCTTTACTCAAAGATAATGTGCTGCCCTTTTAAGTACTTACTTCTCTCCTTTTTCCCCTCCCATACATGAAGTTTTCCATTACATCAGTGCCTTCAAAAGTCTTTTTCGCTTTTGTTTTAGCCCTAGAATGTTAAGAAGCTTCATAATTTCAGAAAGGCCAGCTTTTGTCAAAACATTTTCATGTTTGCCAGACTATTTGAAGAAAAATGAACACAGAGTATCTATGGTACAGTCATCTCTCAAATAGGAAGTTAGACACTACATACAATAGTAGAAAAAGAAAAGTCAAACTGGCAGCACTAACATGCTTAATGTAATATGAAATAGTGACATGGGAAAGGATCGATATCACAGCAGTAGGACACAATACCAAAGTATACATTTACAAAATTCTAGTTTACAAACAAGCAGAAATTGACAACTTCTATTTCTGTGTTTGTGCAGACAGCTTCACTGGAGCAGAAATACTGTTCCAACGTCACACGTGACGGATGCAGTTTGTGCACTCCAGATGCAACCTCATAATTGATGCATTATATTCAATACCTGATCCTTGTGGTACAGAAGTGACATTCAACCATGCCACAGTGTAACATCATACAGTGTACCCTAATTTGATACCTGAGTGTCTTCCCTGGGCACATACCATCTGTATTCTTGCTCACAGGTTGGCTGTATATGTAAGTATGAGAATAGTCCATAGGTTGTGGGTAGATAAAGGTTACTGTGCTCCACACACCCCATGGCTGGCTGATGCTTATCACTGTGTGCTTAAAGCTAATTATTTTAAACAAACAACGTACCAAAAAAGCTGTTACACTTGATTCTACCTTCTTTGGTCATCCTGGTCTCTTATTTCTATTACTGTTTGCACCTGCTCCTATGATACTGCATTTAAGGATTCATCTGCCTGCTTTTGCTTTGTTAGTATCCTGTTTTATAGTGACACATGGACCCAGAGTCATCTTCTAAGGTCATCTGTCAAAAAAAATATTTGAAGTGACTGTAATTTTAAAGCATGACAGCTGATGTTATTTACATCTTTGCTGACCAAGAGAGAGCCTGACTTTGCATAACCTAAAGGCTTTCAAATAATGTATAATCATCTCTTGATAGAAAGCGTGGCTCCACTGAAACCTGTAAAACTTCTAGACTTCAACAGGAACTCAATATTACCATTTCTAGCGCAAAAATACCCAATTTGTCTTATGTCATATTATTGTCAAGGTCTTCTTGTAAACCTTCTGTTTATAACTACAATTCACCATGATACGAAAAATGTCCCTCTCTCTGCATGCCCCCTTGATTTCTACATCACTGACCCAATTCTAGGCCTTTTATATCTTACATCATGTGGAATTAGTTCATACTGGATACGCTCATTACTTAGTTCTGTTTCTTACCTCTAACTCATTTAAATTCTTCCTCTGCACCAGATTCTATTGCAGCACCTCCATGTCCATTACTGACAGTCACCGATTTGATTTACAAATAGCTCTGAGGGGATCAGATGTTGTCAAAGAGACAGTAAGGAAAGAGAGGGAAGCTGGGAACTGATATGAGAAAAACAACAGAAGGAGAAAAGCAGAATGGAAAGAGTACAGAATATTGGTTTAAACAATAGAGACTAATAGGATGCACCTAACGGGTGCATACTGTTTAGTGATTAGTCATAGCTAGTCCTCACTTGTTTTCATAACACCTTAAATTCGTCATAGTGAGATTATATCACCTTGAACTACAAGATCCGTCACTTTTTGCACATTGCTTTATTCACGTTTTTTATTGTTGTAACAAAAGCTGTCTATCTCTTTGTTTAAGGCTTACCAACATCTTAAATACTAGCTCTGCTTGTTTATAATTTTCATCATAATAACAGGCTCAATCATAAATATTCATATAGTAACACACTGCAAATGCACATTCCACTTTATAGAACACACATAAAGGCAGTTCTCTAAACCACCTACTGTGTGACCCCTACACAGAGGTATAGAAAAAGAAGTTAGGATGTGCATTTGCCAAAAATCAAAATCCTGGAATGATTCAAGTAAGATGGAGCTTTCCTAATAGAAAAAATGCATAATAGCAATCCAATTATATACTGCAATGTCTCATTTGGGGGATTGTTGCTGAACATGCTTGTTCAAGTGCCTTTGCAGGATATATACAGAAACAACACATTGGAATTTGGCTCCTAGTTACACAGCACTGGTTACTAATTTAACTATAAAGATACCAGACTTCAAATTCTTGATTTTATGCCCACTCAACTGTCCAAACAAATGGCTCATTTCAGTGTGATTTAAATCCACATAATTGTTAAAGAAGACTTAAGACCAAAATATCATCTCATTTTCTATAGATGCAAGGTGAATCAGAAAATTTGTTTCAGTTGTCAGAATAATTTAATGCATTTCAGCACTAGCTAATTCTGAAATTGCATTACTGCATAAGAACACAGTTGGTAATCTGGAAAATGCTACTTTTAATAGAAACGCTAGTCCAGAGGGATTGCGGTTTTATTCACCTAGGTCTAACTAGAGTTTTCACCTCTAAAGCAGATGTGTTGTGATTAATAACTATTCAGAACAATTAATTTTGCAATGAAAATCTACAGCACTAACATACAGTGCCTATCAGAAGACCCCTCCCATTACATTTGTCTTACTGTTTTTATTTCCTCTACCTTCAATAGACTATGTCAGAATCACTGATTGTTCAATAAAAGTTTAACCGTCTTGTGCTATTAATGTGCTGGTGCTCCATGTGGAGTGCTCGTTTCCTTCCTTTTACTGAACGCCAAACGGAGGGACACAATGGGTGTGTTGTGCTCTGTCTAGCACGGTACGTGCGATATCTTTAAACAGGAGGTGTGAGCCAGCTATAATACCACTACTCTTAACAGCACAAGTACCACAAACTAATCAGCCACGGCACTGGGGCATGCAGTCCATTGAAAGCTGGTGAAAAAGCTGCTTTTTATTATGACCTACATACTGCACAGCAGCAGTTGGACAATTTAAATCTAACGCTGAGGCTGAACACAATGCATGGAAATCCACTAATGATGAACTCAGCAATGTACAGCTTTTTGAACGTGCTCACGAGTTCTATGATATTTTATTTCACCCAGGCTATCCTGATGGTAAAAAGCACAACGAAAATCCAAACAAAAAAAATAATCCTTGCCTTTTAGTGTAGGCATAAAATTGTATCAACTATTGGGAATATCCTTCTGAATCAGCAACCATATGGAACACACCATATCGAAACACTTAAGGAAAACGCAGTCAGATCAATGAATTCAGCAACCACTCTGAACCAGCCACTGACCAAAGCCAACCTTTCAACGCACAGATACCTAGAGGAGCATATTTCTCGCAGGAAGTTGCGCTCAGCTGTGTCTCACAGAACCGCACTCAGGCGTACCTCTCTCCCCGCAGCCGAGGCGCACAGCGGCTCCCTGTTGTGGAGGAGTCCAGCGGCAGCAGCTCCCACGCCAACCTGCCGAGGCGCAGCCCGGAGCCCGCAGCGGGAGCCCGGCCGAGCCCTCGCACACCTGCTCCTCAGCAGCACCCGCGCCCCGGCGCCAGCCGCGCACCAGGGCGGCGGGAGGAAGGGCGACACCCTCCTCCTGGATCCCGGGCTCCCGCTCGGAGCAGCAGCTAGCGAGCTGCCGAGACAGCACTGCAGAGGAACCTTGCCTTTACAAGACAAAACCCCGATCCGCTGCCTGACAGCAGATATGCAGCATTATCGCCCCGCATTCCACCTCCTCCGATCAGCGGCGGGAGCGGCAGCAGCGAGCCTGTCAAAATGGCAGCTCGCGGGCCCGCTGGGGCGCCGGAATTACTCACTTATATGCCCGCTTCTGCTGTGTCCCCCGACGGGATTTTTGTTTATTCCCCGGTACAGCACAGCATAATATGTCACATTGTTTTCCATAAGCAAAATGGCTGGTCCCCTCGGCACCGCCGCAGAGCGCTCATTGGGCTCCCCCGGCTTGCCGGAGCCATGGCCAACAGCCAACAGCCGCCCGGCCCGCCCTGCCCGGCCCTGCCCGGCTCGGCGACCCGGCACCGCGCCCGCCCAGGGGCCGCCGCGACCCGGCCCCCGCCGCGGCCCGGACCTCCCCCGCGGCTGCGGGTCGTGCGGCACCGGCCGCGGTGGGCACAGCGAAAAGGCCGGAGCAGCGATGGAGCACCGCTGCGAGCGACCCGGCCCGGAGGTTGCAAATTACCGTGTGAACGCCTTCAATGAAGCTCTTCGGATGCACCAAATTTAGGCGCCGAAATTATTTGACAGGGCACAGCACTCAGGGTAAAGAATCGTCTTTATTTAGGAAGTAACCTTCAGGGATAACCATCATACAACAGTCAGCTGGTTTTCCAACAACAAAGCACAAGCGCCCACTCGTTTACAAAAAGCTAACCCCTGACATTATCACAGTTCCTAGTGTTTATAAACACATTGCTTAATTTTAGTAGGTTAAAGGTTGCTGTTTATTAGATGACTTTCAAAGACTGTGCATTGCAATCACTATGTAAACCCATTTTATCCTATTTAGAATAATGCATTTATTCATTTCAACTACAAGTAGGAAGAAAAGGAGATATTTGTGAGCAATTTAAAACTGCTTATAAAACACTCCTATACAGCTGTCATTAGCCTGTATCTCAACTGCCAGGAGTCAGAAATAAAAGCTAGAAAGCACATGCAGCTCTTCAACCTAAAGTTCTCAGAAAATCATTTAGAAGCATTAAATATATCTAACCAAGCATACTGCTTTTCATAGACAAGAGTTCTGAGTATTGGTCAGAAATTACTATTCCTTAACAGGGATTGACTTAGTACATAAATCATGGCATTTCCTTGTTCAGTGTCATACTTTTCTAGGACTACAGCAGGTTTTCACCTCTGAATACAGCTTGTAGACAAAGCTCTGCTGCTCCACCACTCTAGGTAACTTTGCTGCTCTCAGCATGCAACGGCAGTGGTATCACCATTGAGTCCCAGGCAGAGAACCAAGGTCCACTCTGGGGGATTTTACACATTTCTTCCTTCAGAATCTTTACCCTCTTTTCCTTTTGTAAGGGCTCGTTTCTCTGAAAGTGAGTAATGAGCTCTATGAAAGTGATCTGGGAGGGGCTCACCAGGAGTCAAGTAGATAAATTCTGTTAAGACTTCTGAGGTGTCAGAACTGAAACACTTCAGTACATTTAAATAATGTGCTTCCACAGTCTTGTTTCTTCCTAACTTAGGCTTCTTTAAAAAGATGGGTAGATGTCCACATCTCTCAAAACTGCAGCTGGGGCTAAAAGTCTGTGCTAGCATGAGGTAAAAGAACCCCCAGCTCCCATGACTCAAACACATACTTTCTGTGCTGTGATTACTGTCCAACAGTACCTTTTGACCTAAAAAGGATGTCCACTGATTTGGCAACCCAATTCTGTAGCCTTTTTCTGGAAAACATTAAACTATTGAAGTAATTATTTACATACTAGGTGTTAAAACAAAACCAGCCTGCATTACAAACAAGGATACCATTTCACCATGATTGGTTCACTACCTTTTTTTGTTAATAAGCAACATGAAACAGACTGTACATCCAGTCTCTTGCTTCTTAATGCATTGATACAGTTACTGACTCTAAAAAAAAAATAAAATTAAAAAATACTCTTCAGTAAGGGAAGACACAAAGAGATTTTCTATCACTTTATTGCATTAACTGTGGTTACTATCATAATACTCTCCACAGGTAGGCTAAAATAGCTTTCAGAAAAGCAAAGGTAATGAGTTTTTAAATAATAGGTTAGAGCTTGGAAAGGTTTCAAGATGTTTGCCCATATCTGTGTATCTATACATATACAGGTATCTTAACATACAGTGGAAGCACAGTATTTTCATAAAAATGTGTTTGAAGTTTGCTTTTAACAAAAAACCTCTTGTAAGATCACAAGTTCATAATTCAATCTTTAGGGATCTAGAACTGTCTGTAATGCAGGTACACTTCCATCCAGAAAAGGGTGATGGAGCTTTTTCATGCAGCACACTCATAGGACTTAACAATATACATGCACATGCCACCTTCTCTGCAGTTTCATAAATGATATGCAGAAATTAGAAGAGGCTTAAACCAAGTGCAGATTATGGTTCCAATTCAGCAAACAATTAAAGCACAAAGTAGTGTGAGAAGCTAACCTGTCTGAGTTTACCTAAAGGTTCCAAAGAAGTCCTAGAAACAGTTTCTGATGCGTGCTCTGCAGTCATAAAATTTCTCCTGGAAAAACCCACTGAAATCATAACATCAAAAGACATGAACTGGACCCACAGTGCAGGTGCAAGACAGAAAAACCTCTTATAGACCCCCAAAGCTCAGTTACACTGGTATGTCTGTGTTTCTAGGAAAGCTCCAAAACCAGGCAGCTGAAATAGTGGCTGCTAGCCTGCTCCCCTTATATAAAAATTTAAGTGCAAGGCATAGAGTCATACTGACCCTACAAGGACTATTTAAGTGGTTAAAGATAACCACTTGCCTGCTGTGTTAGAACAGAGCTGAAAATAGAACACATCATTTGGTATCTTTGCTCAAATCCTACTCCCACGTTAATTCAAATGAGCTTCCTGATCTCACTTGTAGTACCTGGAGGACAGTTGCTCACATCAAAACCATCAGAGCTGAAAGAAAACTAGAATTCACCGATTCTTCACCTTCACTAACAATCTTCAGTTTTGAGACAGAAATAACAAACATTATTCTCAGCCTTATCTGAAGATAGATGCTTGTATCAACGGACCATTCACTACTGTAATTTAGCCCTTCCTGCTATTTTCCTTCACGAACTAGTTTCCAGCTGTCTCAAACCAGCTCTACAGAATATAAAATATATATCTCCATCAAGGCAACATTTAATTCTTAAATTAACTGAAGAATTGTTATTTGCATACAATTCATTAAAATTCATTTTTTATGAAGAATAAATTTGCATTCTAAGAACATTCTAAAACCATGAACCATAAAAAATATTAAAAAACATTGTCCTCCATGGAAAGGAAATGTCAAAAGACCAGATCCTGGTTAGGAAGCAATTACTATGTTAAAATCAACATTTTATTTATTGCATTGCATTGCAATTGTTCCTACATATATTAACTATTTAAATAGGAAAACACCTACTGTTCAGCCGTCCTGAATATCATTAACAATTACAGACCTTTCTGATCCTCATTCAATTTTTGTAATCACTTGATGGTATATTGAAATGAAAAAGACTATTATGAAAGCAAATTGGACTGCTCTAATCATAAAAAAAAAGTCATCACGTAGCAAAGGTCTCAAATTTAAAAATAATGATTTTTTTTTAATATTCATTGGTTGACTTGCTTAAATGCAAAATGGTAGGTAAATAAATGAATATTTGTAGGCGGATATGCTGAAGTATAGACTAGTTAACATAATGTTTCCAAGGCTCCAGGTGATGACAAGCCTGTGAATAAAAGCTCTGATATCTGATTCCCAAGACATTGCTATAATCAACTGCCTGAGACACAACCTGTAGAAGAGTGAGCTGGAATTCAGACATAAAGACTTACTATTATCCAGGGTCAAACTTGTTTGTAGCTCCTCCGGCTACTGAACACTGAGTACAACCCCAGTTGTTGGCTTTGTATTTTCAAGTTCTCACCAGTAACAACTCGGATCAATTTTCTGTACTGTGGATTCAGTTAGGTACTTGGCAAAAATTCTGTATCTAGATTGTATAGAGCAATGGGTTGCTTTAAGTATTTAAGATGTGTCATGCATTTAAATAAAACAATCATGAGCATTTCAGAAACGTTTTCTGAAGGGTAGATGGGAAAGTCTTATTACAGGAAGTATATTCTTTTATTCAGTTAGCCTTTGAGACATGCTACTCATCAAAAGTAGTGCAGCCATAAAATAGGAGAGAAAAGATGAGAAAAGTAACTCTGATTTTCTTAAAAGCAAATATTTAAAAATTTTAAAAGGAAACCCTGAAGCCTTTTTGTAATTAATTAGAGATGAAAGAATCTTAACCTAATAAGACTAGATCCCTTATGTTTTACAGCAGTGTTAGAGATGCTACTGAATTCCTGGAGCAATTTCCACACTATTTCCTACCCTATATTTAATATTTTACTTTCTGATGTAATTTAGCAAAAAAGCAATAATGAAGGTATCACTACCTAATCTCAAATATGAAATACTACAAAAATTATAGAAAAATGTCTGCCTATACAATTTTAGATTAATTTTTGCTGCATTTAAAGTAAGATGAAAAAGAATCTGAAATAGACTCATTATTTCCTTTTCTGTTTACTTGTCCATGAAACTGGATTAACTAACATACCATATATTATAACACCTATATACTTTATTGTCACTTATCCCAAGAAAACATCAAATTTTATGATGTATTGAGCAGATCATGAGAACCATAGTATGGATGAATATTCTGTTTTCAGATCTTTAGGACAGTGTTTCAGAGAAAAAGGCAAACTTGAGCTCACAAAGAGATGATATGCAAGGTTCTCCCAAAAATGAATGCTTAAATGTCTAGTTTTAATAGAAAATAACAAATCTTCAAAATGAAACTAACACACAGATGAGCGTCTTAAAGTCATCCTCCCAGTTTTCGAAGTATCACCAAGACATCAGCTGTAACCTAAAGCAAAATGAAAAATGAGAAACTGCTACCAAAATGCACTATGCTTTCAAAGTATACCAAGAATATTGTCAAGATAATTAGCAGTTCTCTAGTCAAGTTGTACTTGGAAGTTTTCCAGTCCTGATAGGACCTAGTTTCCAGCACCCACCAAAAAGTAAATTTTGTCTCCATTCTAAACTGGAGATCCCTATAAGCCTGAGTACCTGTAAACATCAGGTGCCAGTGTCAGCAGTAATGCTCTGTCAAAATGCACAGAGGCCTGAAATGCTAACAGTGCCAGAATTTTAAGA